CCCCCACTCAGGTAAGCACAACCATCAACATCAGATGGAACCAGAAGGAACCAGAATGAGGTGGGGACCATCTCCTCACCATGTACGTGGGGCAGGTTACTCCTGCCCCCAACATCAGAGGTGACAAGATTAGAACAGGGAGGGGACAATGAGCTCAGAGCCAGATTATTCTATCCCCCACCAGCTCCAGCTCACCAGCGGCAGGGTCATAGAGCTATCTTGTTCTGGACATGAAAAGAGCCAAGCTTTGAAACTTGAAGTATTAAAATGGACAGGATTTGCTCCACTTTAAAGAACTAAAAATGGGACTGTTGTAATAAGAGAAAGCGACAGGAAAGTTGGGGAATCTGACCAGCCTGTCATTAAGAGCCCACACCCCAGGAGGAAAGGAGAGTCAGTTGAAAACAATGACTGGGTAGCTAACACCATTTTACATGTACACTCAAAAAACTAAGATTCTTCTATGAACCACTTACATTTACAAAAAATTTTCAATGGTACAGCAAACTACTTATGATATATATAGCAAAATATAAAATATTAAATGAAAAAAGATATAACATATGACATGAGAGATAGATGAAGGATAAATAGGGAGATGGATGGATGGATAGATAGATAGATTGGTAAGGAAGGAAATGCACTCCCAATGTTAACCAAAGTTGTCTCTGAGATGTGAAATTACAGGTGATTTTCTTTTCTTTATAATACTCTATTTTCTGTAAATTTCTTAAGGCAAGTAGGCATAACTTCTGAAATTACAAAAAGATGCTCTTTTAGAAGGATACAAAAGCAAAGAAAATAAATGCCAAGATATGGTCTACTTTTAAAACTATAAACTTCAGCCCCTGCTCCTCACCTTACTCACAAACTGGTCCCTGCCCAGGACTAATGACTGACACCAGCTGCCAGCACCCCTGAGGAACACTCCGGTCCTTTGCTCATCTTTTTAAATATCAGAAAAATAAAATTTTCATAGGGACCACAATTCTATTACTCAATGATATACAGTCAATAAAAGGCTAAAAACTATAAATTAGTGGATCAAAAGAAAATTCCTTAAACTTACACTGCATTATATGAATCATGTTTCATTTACGTGGCCAGTCCTGGGAAGGAGGAAGGAATTAGACAGCAGGCCATCTGGGGAAGGCCTCCTTTGAACAATACGTTTCAAACCATTGTGTTCCAAAGACAAATTGCCTTTCTGTGTTTGAAAAAAATTGGGGACCTTGAATCCTTCAATCCTAGGCAGGACACAGAGGCAGGACAGCACAGTGGTTATGAACATTGCTCTTGAGCCAGGTCAGCCTGGGTTCTAATTCAAGCTCTGCCACTTCCTAACTTAGGTAATGTGACCTTAGGTAAATCAACTTAATCTCTCTCTGCCTCAGTTTCCTCGTCTATAAGATGGGCTAATAATGGTATCCACTCAGGTTTGTCGTGAGATTTAAATAAGTCAACACAGGTAAAGTTCTTAGAAGAGACCCTGAAGCTCAGTCACTGCTACAAATGATCTTCATGTGAATAATTGAACCAAAGATTCCCAATTAATAAATGACAGTTTTCATTCATTTAGGAACATATGATCCAAATGATGAACTTTCCAGGTTTTTCTCTTTTGCCCATCTTTAGGAAGTTCTGTGACTTTAGCGCCTTTACCCAGAGAAGAAAGGTCAGAAGTCATGGGTTCTAGTGTCATATAAGTGGTCACTGTCATTGTCACACAAGTGGTGGAGTCACCATTTAACTAGGCCTCGGTTTCATCTCAAAAGAATAAAAAGACATTTCCCTCACTAATTTCACAAGGTTGTAAAGAGCAGCAAATGAGAAAATGATGTGAGAATGCTTTGAAAAGTAAAAAGCACTATATAATACATGTAATTTTAAATAGACCAATAATTAAAATATGAAGATAAGACTGAAATTGGTCCTTCCTTCTCCTTGAGAAGAACCCTTACAAAAAGTTAAAATCTAAATTATGTCCTCATTTCATTACTCCATGCTCTCCTAGGCCATTATTGCTATTGATAACTACAAGATGAATATATATATATATATCAGTATACTATATGCCTCAGTGCCTTAGAAGAGCCTGTCCAATATGGTAGCCACTAGCCACATGTGGCCAATGAGCATTTGAAATGTGGCCAGTCCACATTGAGATGTGCTGTATGTGTAAGACACACACCAGATTTGGAAGACAGGATGAAAGAAAGAATATAAAATATCTCATGAATAAGTTTATATATATGCTACATGTTGATTGTTTTATGTTGACTACAGCTTATATTCGTTACCTGTTGGATATATTGAGTTAAATCCAATATATTATTAAAATTAATTTCTTGCTATTCTTTTTACTTCTTAATGTGGCTAATAGAAAATTTTAAATTACATATATGGCTCTCATTATATTTCTATTGGGCAGTGCTGCCTTAGACAATAACGGATCCGTTTTTAAGGAGAATTTGGAAACACAATCTCAGTAGCTGAAGCACCTGGAGGCATGTGAGACGGGAAACAGCAGGTTGCTTGCATTTATGTCTTTGTACCACATTGTCCCATTGTTAAAAGTTGTCATCGCATTAAGCATACAAGTAAGGTAAATAAAAATTCTGGCAGGCCAAAAAGAAACACTAAATTCTATGACCTTTTTTAGACAAAGAGTTGCTGTGAAAGAATCACAACCGAGATCATGAGAGTGCTTGTGGTTCCGGATAAGCGCTTGCGGCGAGCCTGAGTGAGGCAACAGAAAGCCCCCAGGTGAGTCCACTGTTGGCCTCAAGTGCTGCAAACATCCTTGAACAGACACAGAAGATGTGAGCCAGACACTCAGAGGCTACAAAAATCGCAAGCCCCTGTGATGCCCTTTATAGACAGTGTGGTCTAAGAGATGTCAACTTCATAGAACGGAATGAGGGAAATGCACACCATTTGTTCAGTTTTAAAAGAACGCTTTGGAAGGACAAGACTGAGAGCAGCAGGAAAGGCCTTTTCTTACCTGTTCAGTTCTGCCTGCACCACATTTCCGGAGTTTCCGGACTGTGAGTAAACAAAATATAAAAATTGCTTGGCTTTAACCTAAAAAGACCCTGTGGCCAAACAATCAGCCACTTCTCCATTTGGGGTGCAGTGTACGTTTTGTTCTGGCCCCCTGAGGTCAAGGTCTGGCCGATAAATCAGCTGCAGAGGGAGTGGCTACTTGCAATGGCCGCATTGGAGGCCAACTACAAGGTGCATTGAAGAGAAAAAGAGACAATGTTTCATTACAATATGAAGCCATTTTATAGTAGTTATTGTTCTGTTGGTTTCCATAAAAGCAGCAGGGGTACCCAGAATGAGTAATGAATGTTGATTTCTGAATATTGGAGGTTGGAAGGGAAGAATTTAACAATTAAATGAGAAGGAAATATCACTTTTTAGTCCAGCATAGACTTATTCTGAGCAGAAAAAAATAGTGCACAGAGCAATTACAAACATAAATTCAGAAAAATGTGTATTTTAAATGTTCAGTCTCAACAGCCAATTTTTAAAAATTTATCAAGGCAACATCCTTCATGCTCATAAGGAAGCAGACAATAAAATTTGAATAGAATTTAATTATACCTACAAGTGTTTAGAATTCAAACAAAAAATAAGTGACTATTATGAGATATATCTGGTCCTCAAAACATTACAGATAAAAGTTTTGGGGCCAGCCCCGTGGCGCAAGCAGTTAAGTGCACGCACTCCACTGCGGTGGCCCGGGGTTCACCGGTTCAGATCCCGGGCGCTCACCGACGCACTGCTTGGCAAGCCATGCTGTGGCGGTGTCCCATATAAAGTGGAGGAAGATGGGCACAGATGTTAGCCCAGGGCCAGTCTTCCTCAGCAAAAAAAAGAGGAGGATTGGCAGATGTTAGCACAGGGCTGAGCTCCTCACAAAAAAAAAAAAAAAAGATAAAAGTTTTATGAAATCTTTTGAAGAAAATCCAAATGGAGTTTCTTTCAATGCCCTTCTATCTCAAATTCTTAGATTTACACGAAAAGTGGATGAAAATAAATTGCAAATACTAGAGTATACAGGATGTCACTGTTGTAGAACTTGTGAGGGGACCATGAATAAAGAGAAAGACTATGAGGAATTCATTTGAATTAGATTTTTACTGATAAGCTATTCAGCAAATTGAGCTAGCCAATTTCCTGAGTTTGTCTGCTCAGGATGTTGGCAGGAACGGTAGATTTAGAGGCTGCCCAAGCTCTCTGCTGAAGAGTCTGAGGTCATGTCTGAACTCGGGCTCAGCAGGCAGGAATGCTGCCATTGATTAGCGATGTCTGACTAGGAGAGGCACTGCCTATCCTGGCAACATGTCTTTGCTTTCCCTACAATGGAAAGTGTAGCCGTGGAAACGTCTTTCCTACCATTCTGCTGTGGTGCCAGTTCATTTAGAAGACATCATTTTATAAACTCTTGATTGCAGAGTCAGATTGCTGTACTCAAAAAGCAGAGTGTAGGGGCCGGCTGGTAGTGTGGTGGGTTCGCCGCTCTGCTTCCGCAGCACCCGGTTGTCGTGTTCGAATCCTGGACACGGACCTGTGCACGGCTCCTTGAGTGATGCTGTGCCGGTGTCCCACGTGCAGAGTGGAGGAAGATGGGCACGGATGTTGGCTCAGGGCTAATCTTGCTCAGCAAAAAGAGGAAGATTGGCAAAGGATGTTAGCTCAGGTCTGATCTTTCACACCAAAAAAAAAGCAGAGTGTAGATGTTATTTCCGGACCTCACCTCTCCCTTCTCCTCTGACCCTCTCTTCTTCACATAAGGTACTTGTACTGGCTCAACATCCCTCTTTTAAGGGCACATTAACCTCTTCCTTCCACCTCCAAAACAAAATGTTCATCTCCAACATGTGAACATTTCTCTGCTGTGCATAAACTATGGGATGATAGAAATTCTGCAAAAGCAAAGATCTTCTATGCCCAAAAAAATCCCATTTATCACCAAAAGGAACATTATAATGTTCTTTCTCAAATTATTCAGGTCTAATTTTTTTTGACTTAATTAATGCCAACCCTGCCCTTTAGCTCGCTGCCATCTGCCAGGAGTCATCTCCCAGGCAGAAAGGTCATGATGCTGAGCATGGCGCAGGCACCAGGGGACAGGCGGGGTCCAGGCTTCCCTCCTCGATGTCATTCACCTCTCCTGCACCCACACCAGCCAGCACCAGGGAGCGCCGTCAATGTCAGAGAGTTTCGTATCATCAATTAGAGGTGGCAGAAGCTCAACGACTTCTGAGCTCGCCTTAAAGAGAAAAGTGTCCAGATGCTCATACCCACTTGGCAAAACCTACTAAAATCTGTACAAAGGAAAGCACATCTTTTCCAATTAGAATGATATCTGTTAACACAGACAGCAAAATAATAGGTTGAACCACGTGAAACTGCCGTTTATCTAGGCCAAAGACCATCAATTACCAGCAATTCCCTATGGTTCAAACTAACAGAGTACAGACGACTGTCTGCACCAGTATTGGCACGTACTTAACTAGGACTTGAACTATGAGTTTGTCACCTGAGATGTGTAATAAGATAACCAAATATATTTCAGAAACACTTCAGACTGTGGCAACTTTCTTATGAAAGGAAATGTACTTCTATGTCACATATTTCTTTTCTTGTGTTGTCTTTTGGCATCCATTTATTGAATACCTTTGTCAAGTTCTGCCATGAGCATCCAATGAGACCCGTGTTCTGGTGGAAGAGACAGACGTGTGATGAGGGCTCTGTGAAAGGGAAGCCAAGGTTCATAGGAATACATCAGACATCTGCCCAGCCTCCACTAGAGGGGTCCAGGCAGACTCCTAGAGGAGACAGTATCTTGGCTGGGTTTTCCAGGATGCGTAAGGAAAGCCAAACTGAAGTTCAAGAGTCAGTGGAGAGAGGGGAGGTGGCGAGGACAGGGTCAACTTCTCTGTTAGTCCTGGTTCCAGAAAATGTTTGGCTTAAAATTTTCCCATTCACAGCATCTCTGGCTTGTTCCTGCTCTTCTGATTCATTACAATCCTGTCATTTCCAGCATTAACTAGGGCTAGTGGTCGTAATGAATAAATGGAAATATTAAAATATCATCAGGGAAGATTCATCATACTCAGCTTCTAATTGGAGAGGAAAAATGTCTTGACGCTTCATAGGTATTTTTATTTAGTCGGGGGACCAATGTCATATTAACTGACTAGATAAATACCTGGGGAGCTCGATCTTGCTGCTAACATTGTAATTTCTTCCAGTTCCATTCAAGTTTTACTGGATCTCTGGCCACTAAGAATAATATAAAACAAACTTAAAATTCACTTTCAGAAAACAAAATGTGCAAGGTGTGAGGTCCACTCCTATAATGACCTTCTTGTGTGGGGGCTGGCATTTGAGACGACCTGGCTGGCGTTTGATTCTCACGGTGTGTAAAGCCCACTCTCTTGCTAATTTAGCTACAGGTCAGCCCTCACTCTGCTTTAGAACAGCATTAAGGGAATTGTCTTCTCTGGCAGAAGACCATGGGAAGACCATTGGAATCCAGAGAAGGAAAACAAAGGGTGTGCTCAGCAGAGAAGCTGCCAAACGCACAGACTTTTCATGTCGAATTACACTTGTCACCCAGAGATGTGTGTTGCTGGCATCTCCCGCCTGATCTGCGCCGTCAGACCCGCCCAACTCAGATTCCACTGCGATCATTCAACCACTGTAACCCAGGGAGAAAATTGAATACTTTTTCTACATCTCATTATCAAAGCAAAAATGGAACAGTAACTGCCCAATTCAGCTTACATAAGAAATTCAATGAATTACACTGCCATGAATTTAAAAACAAAAAAAAATCCCGATGTTAGCATCTCTGGGACTGAGACAGCGGCAAGAACAGAGGTTCCTCGGCCAGATTCGCAGACCTCTGCACCGGAGCCGGGGGCTCGAGTCTGAGGGTCATGTTGGGAATCTTCTCTGCTGTTCCTTTCTTTCTCTCATGGCTCTTTTTGCAACCTCTTCAGTCTTGAAGACTTTGATGGAGGAGTCGTCAGTTCTACTTTGTCAGCTACACTGAGCTAAAATAATACGAGCTAAGATGTATATGCATTCCTTTCAGCTAAAGATCTTATGTGGTGAGGAGTATGGAAGTTGAGGGAGTGAGGACAGATCATTAGGGTGTCTCCCAATTGGGACACTTAGAAATCTTCTGATTGAAAGATAACAC